GAAATCCAGTCATTTGCAATAAAATTAAGGATTCTGGAACACATCATGCTGAGTGAAATAAGCCAGTCCGAAAGGGACAAATACCATATGTTCTCCCTGATCGGTGACAACTGACTGAATACCAAAAAGGAAACCTGTTGAAGTGAAATGGACACTATGAGAAACGGTGACTTAATCAGCATAGCTCTGACTGTTAATGAACAACGTAATACATTATCCCTCTTAGTAGTTTTTTTGTCTGTTCTACTTAATATGACTGGTTTAATTCTGTAATTAATACACAGTTATTCTTAAGTGTTGAAATTTAACTGAAATGTGATCCCTGTTAAACATAAGAGTGGGAATAAGAGAGGGAAGAGATGTACAATTTGGGACATGCTCAGGCTGACTTGTCCCAAACAGTAGAGTTAGAAACATACCAGGGGACTCCAATTCAATCCCATCGAGGTGGCATGTACCAATGCCATCTCACTAGTCCAAGTGATCAATTTCAGTTCATAATTCATCATAATGAAAGGACTAAGAGTCAAAGGGAGCACATAAACAAGTCTAGTACCTGCTAATACTAACCGATAGAATAAAGAGGAGAGTGATCCAACATGGGAAGCAAGATACTCAGCAGACTTAATGAATGGTGGATGTCCTAAACAGCACTCTGGCCTCAGAATCAGCCCTAAAGGCATTCAGATCTGGCTGAAAAGCCCATGAGAGTATTTCAGGCATGGAAAGCCAAGACACTCTGGCAAAAACAAAAACAAAAACAAAAACAAAACACCTAAATGAAAGATCTCTGTGAGTGAGATCCCAGTGGAAAGAACAGGTCTTCAAAGAAGGAGGTACCTTTCTCTGAAGGGAGGAGAGAACCTCCACTTTGACTATGACCTTGTCTAAACAAGATAAGAGTTGCAGAACTCAAGGGGCTCCATAGCCTTGGAAACTCATGACTGGTGCATAGGGAGATTACTGATGCCATAGACAGGAGTGTCAATTGGTAAAGTCAACAACAGGAGTCACTGTGCACTTACTCCTCATGTAGGATCTCTGTCCTTAATGTGCTGTACATTGAGGCTTAATGCTATAATGAGTACTCAAACAGTATATTTCACTTTGTGTTTCTATGGGGGTGCAAACTGTTGAAATCTTTACTTAATGTATACTAAACTGATCTTCTGTAAAAAAAAAAAGAAGAAGAAGAAGAAATTATCAATTCCCAACTTGACTCTCACTGGGATTAAACATGACAATAGGTCTGATCTGATTTCATCATCATTTAAAAAATCATCTATTATTTTTCTCTTTATGTTTCTGTGTGGGAGCAAACTGTTGAAACCTTTACTTAATGTATGCTAAACTGATCTTCTGTATATAAAGAGAATCGAAAATGAATCCTCATGTGAATGGAAGGGGAGAGGGAGTGGGAAAGGAGAGGGTTGCGGGTGGGAGGGATGTTATGGGGGGGAAGCCATTGTAATCCATAAGCTGACCTTTGGAAATTTATATTCATTAAATAAAAGTTAAAAAAATATTATTATTACCAGACACTTGATCCTATTTATATGATCACTTTAACACTTAATTCTATCCAAATGATCATTTTCACACTTAAGGTGGTATTTTTACCACCCAGCCTAAGGGGATTTTTGGTTCCTATGAATGCCTACTTCTTTGATTTTGGTACTGATATTATGATGTGTTCGATGTCCAAAGTCATCAAAATATATGCATGAAATGTGCTAAATTTGTATATTATACCTAAGTAAAACTTGAAAAATCCATAACATACATTTCTCCCCTGTACTCCCATAGCCCAATGAGGAGGTTCAGGGGGCGGCCTCTGGGAGATGTTCCTCAGCTCTGGGCTGACTTCTGACACTTCAGCACAGTTTCTCAGAGTCTTCGCTAAATTTAAATCAAAGGAGTTTTCTGGTATCTCCCCGGTGAGTAGAAATCATTATTGATTTCTTCTGGTTTCTGGTCTGTGAGTTGACCTGTCAGGGATTGTTGGAAGGCTGGACACAGCACTACTTCCAGAACCAGGTCTGAGTTTTAGACGTCATCTCAGACCTCTGGTTTTGGTTTTCTGGTTTTGGTTCAGCCTAATTTGTATAGGAGTCATCTTTATCTGTTCATTCACTGTTGTGCCTTGTGTGCTCAGTGTTTTACTCATTTAGGAGATGGGACAGGGGTCTTCTCTTCCAGCTGACCCCACATTGGGTTTCTTCCTGAAAGACTTTGAGGAAGTCAAAAACATGCGATTGTATCTTTTGGATATTAAATAAATGCTCTTAATGTCCACCTTTATTGTGAGCAGGAGTGGCCAATCTTTAATGTTGGGTGGCCACCGGAAAGAACCACTTATATCTTTATAGTTTTATAGTTTCAAAGGGTGATTTTTGGGAAGCCAGATCATCCTGCCCAGGCCCCGTATATTGGGGTCTGGATGGATTTTCACATAGACCCCCCCAACATGGCTAAAAACCAGCCTAAAGAAACAGATAAGGTCATCAAAAGGAAAGAGTGTTTTGGTGACCCAAGGGAAGGATAATTCACCCCCTTCAGTCATTCCAAGTCTGCCAGAGGATTCAGATGTCCTAGACACTCCCCAGTTTGGGATTGTGCCTATGACCATAAGTGCCCCTGACTCTTCCACTCCAATGTCCCCTGAGGGCCTGTCAACACCAGTAACTCTGAGGACCTCAGTGTGTCCTCTGTTGACAGGGTCTGGAGAAGACCGGCCTCATTAGTCCTCTGCACACACAGAGTGGGATGAGGTATTATCTTTACCCAGAGCTGCCAGAGGTTCCAGTCTTCCCTTTATGTCAAGTTACCTCCCCATTTGGGGAGGGCAGGACCCCCTGCATGATCTATATTCCCTTTTTCACTAGTGATCTCTATAATTGGCAACAGCAAAACCCTTCTTTCTCAGAAAAACCACAGGTTCTAATCTCTCCTCTTGCGTCTACTTTCTTCACCCACAAACTTACTTGGGATAACTGCCAGCAGCTTCTTCATGACACTTTTCACCTCACAGGAGAGAGATTGCACCTGGCAGGAGACCCAAAAACTGGTCTTGGGCCTCAATGGACAGCCTACCTCTGAACCCATCAGACAGGAGAGAATACTTCCCCTTAGCTGCCCCACAACACATATTCCTTAAAAAGATTTTATTCTTCAGCTGCTTGAGCTAGAAGAATTGTAAACAATGGCATCAATCAAAATGACAGAGGTGAAGCTTGACTGAGCTTTCAAATGTACGAATTGCCACTTGAAAATACTTCAGAGGCTGACCCTGTGGCATGGTAGGTTAATTCTCCACCTGTGGTGCCAGCATCCAATATGGGTGCTGGTTGGTGTCCCAGCTGCTCCTCTTCCATTCCAGCTCTCTGAAAAGGCCAGGGAAAGTAGTACAATATAGATCAAGTGCTTGGGCCCCTACACCACAGTGGGAGACCCAGAAAAAGCTCTTGGCTGCTGACTTCTGATCAGCACAGCTTCAGCCACTGCAGCCATTTGGGGAATGAACCAGCAATGGAAGACCTTTCTCTCTGTCTCTCCCTCTTACTGTCTGTAACTCTATGTCAAAATTAAATAAATACGTAAACTATTTTTTTTAAAAAGAAAATGATTCAAATGGACATAAAAGAAAGAGAGTCTTTGGAGCAGGGGCCATCTTTTCCTTCAATGTTAAGTAGTAGAAGAAGAAAAATAAGTATGACAATAACCCCTCAATGGGTTACCCATGGAGATATTGATGTAAAAATGAAACCTTTCTCTGAAGGAAGGAGAGAACTTCCACTTTGATTACAGCCTTGTCTAAATAAGGTCAGAGTTTGTGAACTCAAGATGCTTCCATAGCCTTGGCAGCTCATGACAAGAGCCTCAGGTGATTACTGATGTCATAAATAAGAGTGTAAGTTGTTAAATCAACAACAGGAGTCACTGTGCACTTACTCCCCATGTAGGATCTCTCACGTTAATGTGTTGTACTATGCGAATTAATGGTAAAACTAGTCTTCAAACAGTATTTTATAGTTGTGTCTCTGTGTGGGTGCAATCTGTTGAAATCTTTACTCAGTAGGCACTAAATTGAACTTCTGTATATAAAGATAATTAAAATGAATCTTAGTGAAGAATGGGATGGGAAAGGGAGTAGAGATGGGATGGTTTGCAGGTGGGAAGGTGGTTATGGGGGGAAAACCACTATAATCCAAAAGTTGTACTTTTGAAATTTATAAAATAAAAGTTTAAAAAAATAAAATAAAATAGCCACATAGGGGCCACTGCTGCAGCACGACAGGTTAAGCCACTGCTTGAGCCACCAGCATCCAATACTGGAGAGCCAATTCCATCTCAGCTGCTCATCTTCCAATCCAGCTCCCTGCTAATGTGCCAGGGGAAGCATAGGGTGATGTTACAAGTACTTGATTTTCTGCTATTCATGTAGGAGACAAAAGTAGAATTCCTGGCTTCTGGTTGTGGCTGGGATCAGCCTTAGTTGTCTGGATGAAGTAGACAGACATAGAGGTCCAAATTCCGATCATATATGTGGCACCCCAGATGGGACTTCTGGGGAATATTAAGGGGCAACATTATGATATATTTTAAGGGGTCAAATTCAAATGTCATGGGGACATTTGGGGAGTGAACTAGAGGATAGAAGAGCTCACTCTCTCTGTAAGTACCCCTCTCTCTTTGTCACTCTACATTTAAATAAATAAAATAAATCTTAAAAAAAAACACACTGTAAAGAGAAACTGAACCACTGAAAGAGTTCCTTTCTCATGGAAAACTTATGCAGTCATGCACAAAAAGAGGGGCACTCTACAATTTCTGTCTATCAAAGAGTTTAATAAAAAAAAGTTGAGGATTGCTGGATCCATAAAGGGGGCAGAACTGGCATTACACACAAAGACAAACATGGAAAGCTCTTTCTTGGAGGGTTTCCCACCCCTACAGAGCCCGCACCAAGTGGCTGCTCCTTCTCTCCAGCGTCTCTATGGTCAGTCTCCCCTCCCCACCTTTTCTCCCACTCTGATGATCTTGTCTGCCTGCAGGGCCTCAGCCAGTGTCCTCCTCAGCTTCTTCACTTTCCTCGTCTGCCTTTCGATGTCCTCAGGAGTTACCTGTTGGCTGTAGACAGGACAGGAGACAACCAGATCTGCTGGTGGAAGCATCACTGCCATCTCTGAGGCTGGCTCAAGGGTGGGCTTGGACCTGGGCTGCAGACCCCCAGCACCAGCCAGACCTGGGGATCTGTTTGGGATTGCTGGTGCTGTCATCTTCCAGACATATGCAAAATCCAAAGTGGGTAAAGGCTCTCCCTCGCTGCTGTTGGCACAGAACCCCTGCAGTAGTCTGAGCACACAGACCTGCTGGGGTTTCTCCAGGTTCCCCTCCACAGGCTGGCACTGGACTGCATTGCCTGAGTGGGTGTTGACTCAAGTGACAAGGCTCTGGAAGACATAGCTGGTCACAAGCACTTCTTGCTTCCTTTGCAAGGTCTTGGGAATCATCATTCTTCTTAGCCTCCCCTTGGAAAACAAAACCCTTTGAGCAGAGTGGAAGATGCAGACCTCCAGCCATGGATGGGGACCCAGCTGCCTCAACCACCCCTTCTTATGGGCAAAGCCGCTTCACACCTGCACCACTGTCATCCAGAAGGTTTGGGCTAAGTGAATGGGGACCATGGGTAGTTTGTGGATATGAGAAGGAAAAGATCTGTGTCTTAGGGTTTGTTTTTATTTGATAGCAGAGTCTCAGAGAGAGAAGTAGAGAGAAGGGGATGATGGAAGATCATGTCTTGCTCACTCTTACTATTGTTCTCAGTAACTCTTCCTTTGAAATAAATTAAGAAATGTTTCAGAACAATCTGATTTATGATCCCAAGAAAGATTCCTATGACAAAGAGTAGATGACATTGACTGTCACTCAAAAATCAGGGAGTAAAGCTCCATGAAGTAACACTGTTTTCAGTTGTGGCCATTTTTGTAGTGAACCAGAAGATGGAGGGCTTCTCTCTTTCTGTGTCTCTCCTCTGTCTGTGACCTGGACTTCCAAATAAATAACTAAATCTTAATAAAAATAATCCTGTCAGTTACTGAAGGAAATTTAAGTGAAGGAAAAAGTACACTAGTGGATGCTGTGTGGTCACAATAATACTCTATGCACCAGGGAGGGCTGTCTTGCAGATGAGAAGGACATTGGTCTCCCATGGTCAGAATTTGCCTGCCCGCCCTCAGTGTGGGATACACAGTCCCACAGATCCTTGGAAAATCCTGGAACTTTGTCCTGTAACCTCTTCCTTTATAGAGGAAGACAGTAGATAACCAAATCATCAGGAAATCCATGGATCCCTGGAAAATACAATGACTTCCCCCAGTAGACAGTCCTATCAATGGATAAGCCATGGGCCAAGGGAAAATATATGTGGGAACCACATTATCCATATGTAAAACATGGAAAGTTTCCATGCACATAAATTTGCGTATGACATTGATTTTAATAGGTTAGAGAAGAAACTGTGTTGGTGTAGCAGCCCAAGGGGAATAAGCCACCTCCAGAAATGTCCACAAACCTTAGAGGCACATGTTGAATTTCTTGCTGCCACACTTACAATCCTGCTCCCTGAAGAGTCTGTAAAAGCAGTGGAAAGAACAAGCTAATGCAAGATGTCTCTTTGGGTCTCCCTTTCTCACTGCTACTCTGCCTTTCTAAATAAATAAATAGGTAAGTAAACCAGTAAATATGTTAAAAGATTGAATTCAAAAATCAAATCATGGAGCCAGCACTATGGCATGGTAAAGCTACCGCCTGCAGTGTTGGCATCACATATGTGTGCCAGTTTGAATCTCGGTTGCTCCATTTCAGATTCAAACTTCTGCTATTGCCTGGGAAGGCAATGGAGTATTGCCCAAGTCCTTGGGCCCCTGTACCCATGTGGGAGATCTGGAATAAGCTTCTGGCTCCTGGATTCAGATCAGATCAGCTCCAGCCTTTGCAATCAAATGAGAGTGAACCAATGGATGGAAGAACTTTATTTATCTATTCCTCTCCAGTTCCCTCTGTGTAGCCCTGACTTTCAAATAAATAAATAACTCTTTAAAAAAGTCAATTCCTCTAAAATTGGACAAGGCTATGGAAAATAGATTCATATCAAGGAGTAAGGACACTTGTTTAACAGAATTGCATACCATAGGGAGTTCTTACTGGATTGGATTTTTCTTTTACGTTTATTGAATAAAGATACTTTTCCAAAGTATAGCTTTTGGATTACAGTGGCTTTTGCCTCCCCATAACTTCTCTCCCATTCCATTCACCAAAATTCATTTTCAATTATCTTTATCTGCAGAAGATCAATTTAGAAAATCTGAAGTAAAGATTTCAACAGTTTGCACCCACACAGAAACATAAAGTGTAAAGTACTGTATGAGTACTAGTTTTAGCATTAAATCACAATGTACAGCACATTAAGGACAGATATACTACATGGAGAGTAAGTGCACAGTGACTCCTGTTGTTGACTTAACAATTGACACTCCCGTTTATGGCATCAGTAATCACCCTAGGCTCTTGTCATGAGCTGCCAACAATATGGAAGCTTTTTGATTTCACCAACTCCAATCTTATTTAGACAAGGTCATAGTCAAAGTAGAAGTTCTCCCCTCCCTTCAAAGAAAGGTATCTCCTTCATTAATGGCCTATTCTTTCCACAGGGATCTCATTCACAGAGATCTTTCATTTAGGTGTTTGTTTTGTGTGTGTGTGTGTGTGTGTGTTTTACAAAGTGTCTTAGCTTTCCATGTAGAAATTTTCTCACGGGGCTAGGGCTGGCTATATTTGATTGACTGTCATGGAGAGACAGACTGACAGCCTATCATTATCCCGATTGACTGAGTGCTGCACAGCAAACTCCACCTCTCATCAGCCCATCAGGCTTTAAATACCCGAAGGAAGCCAAGGCTACCATTCCTCCCTGGCAAATCAGCTGGCTCTACCTCTGCCTACCACACCTGGAGGCGTTCCCAGGAGCTCCCTCTGTCCAAGCTCACTCTGCCAGTGAAAGGCCACAGGATCACCTCCCCAGCACTCAAGTTGTCTGGGGTACCAGCTATGGAGGGAACCCTCTGACTCAGGTGAAGAGAAGGAGCAGGATCCAATGGGACATCTGCAGGAAGCAGACATCACCTGGGGTTGGCACAGACAGACCAGAGAATCTGTACCATGAGTGGCTGCTGGTGCCCAAGGAGCCCCTTACTCCTGTCCAGAAGGGACCAGCAGCCGAGTTGGAGACAGCAGGTATGTTGGAGGAGAGTGTCTAGGTGACAGATTGAGTGTGTGTGGGGGGGGGGTGGAGAAGTAGAGAGAGAGAGAGAGAGAGAGAGAGAGAGAGATGTCTGGAAGGTTTCTGTCCCATGTCTGCATGTGCTGAGGTGAGCACAGTTCCAGGGATGGGAACATCACTCCCATGGGTCCAGTGATGCTCTTGTTCAGGCTGTGCTAAAGGATCTGCAGGTAGGACCCAGATTGCAGAACAGCAGAGCAGACTCCTTTTTAAGCTGAGTGGATGGTATAGCCATAATTGATGTTGTAATATCCACATGGGCCTTGGCAGGTCAGAAGTCTCCACCCTCAGGGGAGAAGAGGGATTCCGGCAGCCCCAGTGTTGGGGGTTTAATCTGGGGGACTGGGATGGGCTCAGGGCTGCAGGGCTGCAATGAGTTAGGGGCTTTGTGTAACAGGTCTCGCCGGTCCCAGCTGACTGAGTCCCATTCTCCTGCAGGCCACAAGGGACACAAGGCAACCTCCCCAAAGGCAGAGACTGCAGCAGGGTCCCAGGCCAGGTAAGGCATTTTCTATGCTCTCTCCTGCCTCCCTCCGCTAGGAAAGGCTCCCCCTTCCAAGGCTGACTGGAACGGGGGAGGGACTTTCTCTAGGATGCCCAGGCCTGCAGCCACCTCAGCTCTGGGAGCAGCTATGCTGTCCTGGGCTTCGGAGTCCCCAAATCAGCCCCTCCACTGGGTTTCATCCAGGACAGCTGCCTCTCCTCAACATACTCTGTGTACCCAGAGGTGTTGAACCTACACAGGTGTGGCCATGTTCAGTCCACAGTGAAGTGTTGCCTCAAGTAACACTCAATAAAAGTCCTGGGGTCCAACCCAGCTGCTTGGGCTCAAGCACCCAGGGAATGTCCATAGGTTGAGCTTGCTGAGGGTTTCAAGATGGTGAGGTTTGTGTGCGGCCATGCAGATTTGGTTTGGGGACTAGGATTGCAATTTGGGCTGTCCCCTGCCCTGTGCCCTGACAGCCTCTCCTCGACAAGCCCTAACTGCTGGCTTTTCCTCCCCAGGACCCACAGAGTGCCAGCGCCCAGATGATCGTGGTGGTCTTGGAAGCGGGAACAGAGCTGCAGCTTCGCCTGGGAGCTGAGGGCCTGGTGCTGGCCCCACAGACAGCCCTGCAGCTCACGCTGGGCCATGTGGTGGTCGTGGTGGTCCCTGAGCATGTCCTGACAGCAGCAGAGGGACTCTGGTTCCCTGCCCAGGCCCGCTGGCTCCTGCTCACAGGTGCTGACCCCACCTGGGAGATCAGCATGGAATACGGGTCTGCAGTTCCCCAGGAAGTAGCCGCTGTGTGTGTCCCTCAGGCAGACAGGGTGGCTGGTGCTCCCCACAGCCCACAGCCATCTTTGAAATGCCCAGCCAATGCAGCGCCAGGAGCCCGCTCCTCTGGCCACCCAAACACCCTCTTCCTCACCCCTTGCTACACAGCCGCCGCCCCTCAGGGCTCCTCCCACATGCCCAGGCCTCACCCGAAGAGGCATCTTCTGCCAGCTGAGTTCCAGTTGGGGCTCCATGGCCTGGAACCCCTGGCCTGCTCTGCCCTCAGACCTCTGCCTCCCTCTCCCTCTCCCAGCCTAGGGCCCAGAGCCCCTCCCATCAAGGCCTGCCACAGGCCAGGCTGCTAGGCACACAGACATGTCTTCCAACACTGATGCCCCCCACCCCCAGGAGCCCTCAGGCCCCACACATACTGCAGACAAGCTGACAGCAAGACCATGGATATCTGCCCCTTCCAGGATTGCCCCCTTCCTGATCTCACCCCCTGTTGATGAGGGGGACCTTCTGGGTTTGGTGGGCTGTGGAGAAATGCCGTGTGCTCTCACATCTGCCTCAGGCACTGGAGAAATAGAGGCAGTGATGAATTTTCGGTGTCAATGATTTCCTTTTTTTTTTTTATTTTTGACAGGCAGAGTGGACAGTGAGAGAGAGAGACAGAGAGAAAGGTCTTCCTTTGCCGTTGGTTCACCCTCCAATGGCCGCCGCTGCTGTCAATGGGATGAGAGTTTTGGTGACACCATTGTAATACCCAATTCCAATTGTAAATACCAGGTCACTGTGATGACAATCAATATAGCAGCACTAT